GGCCGGCCCCGATTTTTTTTTCAGAGCAGAATATCATGCTTGGTGCCGGCATAACTTTGAATGGTTGCTGAACGAACTGTTGCAAGTCGTCGACTGCCTGTCTAGAGCCGTTTCCCATTTCCCAATCTGGCCACCCCAGTTCCTGCTCACCAAGCCAGAACGTTCTTGGGTAGCTTCCTCTGGTCCTGATGTCTGCAGTAGCATCTCCTAGGGCACGAATCGGCCACCTGGAAGGCTGGCCAATGGTGGGCGCGAGATCGGTTGGCCTCGGGATCTCGGTCGGCACTGGGCTGGGTGTAGGAGGCATCTTGCTCGAGGCTGGCGGGCTTGTCGAGAGGAAGAGAGCGGTCCTGGAGGTATAATGAGTTACAGGTGAGCTGGTTTCTAACCTGCCTCAAGTGGCCAATGAGCGGATACGTTCAGTAGAGCTTTCAGGTCTGTCGCCTTATTTTAAGAAAGTATTCAAACAATTCACTTCTTTTTTTAAACAAACATGACTGGGTTCCACCTGCTGCACAATCGTCATGCTTTGTTTCACCCTGATGAATCACTAAGAAGCATCACGCAGAGTGATAAGCCGTGATGTGGCCTACTATTGAAAAACTGCCCAGGTTTAAGAGAGAGAGAGAGAGAGGCCCATTAATGGTAGTCTAGCCACAATCTTCCGAATGTCTTCATCTCCAGGCCATTTTTTTAAAAATTTCTCATTGCTATTGTTTTTGAATTGGGTAAGCTGCCCAGGATCGGTTAGGTGAGATGGGCAGGGGGATGTTAACTAAATAAATCTTCCTTTTAAGTGTGCAAGGGACAATGTTGAACGTTTAGGAACCAGAGGAGGTATTCAGCCGGTTTGCACCGGTTCTAGCGTACCGGTAGCAGCAATTTTGACTAGTTCAGAGAACTGGCAAAATACCACCTCTGACTGGCCCCACCAACCCACCTACCCCCACCATTAGCTCTCCTATATCAGTGGTGGGATTCCAAAAATGTTACTATGCTGTGGGCGTGGCTTGGTGGGCGTGGCAGGGGAAGGATACTACAAAATCTCCAGTCAGAGGTGGTATTTGCCGGTTCTCTGAACTACTCAAAATTCCCGCTACCGGTTCTCCAGAACTGGTCAGAACCTGCTGAACAGCACCTCTGATTCCCTTGATTTTTAGCTCAGCTGAGTCGCGCGGCAGAACAGATTGCCGTGCCTCAGCTGAACTAAAAAAAATCCAGCTCAGCTCACTCACCAGCGTTCGGACAGAGGTCGGTCTTTGAGCCCTGCACATGCATAGAACCGCTCATAGAACTGATAGGAAAAAAACTGGAAACCCACCACTGTTGAGAACCAACCCTCCTGGGGGGGGGGGGGTTAGCAGAAACGTGTCCTTGGAGGGCTACCCTGGACACTGCTGAGGAATCCGCAACTGCCCTGTCCTTCACCCAGGGAGGATCAAGGAAGTCCCAAATACTTTCAGACTAGAAAAGGGCCAGAGTCATTTCTAAAACGTTCTTGATAGGAGAGTTAGACAGGGGGATTAGATGGGAGAGAAAAGCCAAGCGTAGCCAAATCGACCGGACTCACCAAAGGCTCCCCGAAGTAAAACGGTCTTGCGACCTTTTCGAATGGCGGAAAAGGAGGGACGCCGTCTAACCGCAGCTGGGAGTTCATTCCGAAGGTGCGGGGCCATTGCTTTGCTCCTTTCCCCTTCAGCAGCTTCCCTTTCTGCTGCCCTGAAGGTTTGAGTTTCTCCTTCGATTTGGGAACCGCCAGGCTTTGCTTGCGGACTTTGGGCCTGGTTTGAGTTGCGGCTGGCACCTTTGGGTCCGCCGTGGGCTCCAATAAAGCGCACGCTGGGGCCCAGAGATAGATGGAAGAAACCTCCAGGGTCTCCTGGGAGGAAGGTTGACTCGGAGTTACGAACTGCACTGGGGATGGATCGTCCACCAGTGGCGCGATGGGATACTGGGCAGCGCTCGACGAGAGGCCCTTAACCGGGGACCTTTCCTTGGTCCCCTCTTCCAGATCTTGGGACTTCCTGCAAGATCTCTTGGGACTCCCGTTGACTTCCAGCCCCATGGTTTGCTCCAACAAGAGGGTCGTCGCTGGTTGGGAGGTAGTGCCAACTTCTGCCCCTTTGCCCCCAGGGCTGGGCAGGTCAATGCAGTTGGCCGCAGCTTCTTCTCCGCCCCCCGGCGCCTCGTCTAATAACATCTCGCTCTCGTCGTGCGCTAACCAATCGCATTTGGTGTCGCTGCTCAGGAAGGCTACCACTTGGGACACGGCAGTGCCAAATTTGGGCAGCTTTCTACCCTGGCTTTTACGGCGCTGGGGGTATGGAGTCGGGGGCCGGGGCCTCTGCCATTCAGCCCGCTTGGGGTTGCTGGTGGACAGTTCCTCAAAGAAGGTAACCACCTGTTGGGTGGGAGTGGCCGGTCCCGATTCTTTGGGGGTCACTTTTTTGATGTGCTCCAAGAACAGCTGGCGGAGGGGCGAGAACTCGTCCGTATTGTTCCTCTCCGGCCCTTTGAAGTACGGCAGCTTCTTGCCCGCCGGGCTGAGGTGCTGCAAAGCTTTCGGCAGGATGGGCACAGGGCTGGCAGGCGGCTTCTTCTGCGGGCACTGCTTCAAGACGTCGGCGTAAGAGATGCCAGAGGAAATGACGCTGGGCTTCTGTTTGACGATGCTGGGTGGCCACTGTCCCGGTTGGATGGTCACTCTGTAGAAGAGGTTCACCCCTTTGTCCAAAAATTCCTGGTATATGGATTCGTAATTGACTGCCTCCGGTCCTGCAGCTTCGGTGTTCGCCTCCGCCTTGGTGTGGCTTCCCGGGGGGGCCTGAAGCTTCTCCGTGGGGCTGTTGGAGGGGTTTTCCCAATCCGTGGACAGTTGGGCAGCACCAGCTGGCCCTCGGAAGTCCCCTTCGCTCCCAGGGGCGCTGTCCGGCTGTCTGTTCTGCTCCTTCTCCTTCTGGCCAATCCCCCACGACAGCGGGACCTTCTTCAAGCCTGACGGAGTGATGGAGCCAGGAGGTGCCGGCCTGAAGATATTCTTCTCGTTGAGGGGTCTGCAGCCTGGACCTCCCAGGTTGTCCTCGCCTGTCTTCAGCAGCTCTGGGCCGTGTGTCGCTCCCCCTACCGGTTTCTTGGCTGAAGCCGGAGGTTCTGGCAGCTGCTCCTCGTTTTCTGCACCTTCCTTACTGCTCGTTTTCATGTGCTGAGTCCAACACGCCTGAGTTTCCACCTTAGGTGGCTCTCCTCCTTGGCTCGTTTCGGTTATTTTTGCAGGCTGAAGTAGCATTCCTCCCGTGCTCTTGGCAAGGTGGACATTCTCTGCCTTGGCCTTCCCTCTGGTCAGAGCCTTCTTGGCACTCAAATCTTGGGGTTCGGAGTGCGGGGCTGCTGGCGGGGAGGGCCTGAGCGCCATCTTCAGGCCTTTGGGGTCCTCGGGGAGCCCCTGTCCGCTGGGAAGGTCAGCTCTGCTGAGACAAGACAAGCCCCATTTCTCTGTCCCAAGGTCCTTGTCGCAAAGGCTGGCCTCCTTCATCCCCCCACTGACCGAGTTCTGGGTCCACATGGAGGAGAGCTTCAGCTTGGATTTTTTGGAATGGTTCTTCCCCATCTCTGCCGTTCCGGTCTGCCGGTCCCCTCCCCCTGGTTCGCCACTCAGCGTCTGGCTGACCCCTTTGTGTTCAGGGACCGGAGGACCAGGGGGCCGGCTGGCCAAATCATGTTTGCTTCGGTTTGACTCCCGTTCTGACTTGGTCGTATCCGGGTGTGTTTTCTCCACCCTGTCTTTGACCGATTCTGATTCCTGGGTGGCTTCGGATTGAACATTGCCCATTATATTCAGTCATCCTGCAGAGAAGAGGGAGGGAGTAAGATGCCAGGAGAAGGGGTTCAAAGGGGGAGTTGGTGTTCTGACCCAGGCTTCCTAAACACTAGATAGAGAATAGAGAGAGAGAGGAAAAAAGAGAGGAGAGAGAGAGAGAGGATGGATAGGTAGGTAGGTAGGTAGGTAGGTAGGTAGGTAGGATAGATGGTCTTCAAACTTGGCAAGTTTAAGACTCGTGGACTTCAACTCCCAGAATTCCTGAGCTAGCATGACTGGAGGAGGAATTCTGGGAGTTGAAGTCCACAAGTCTTACAGTTGCCAAGTTTGGAGACCCCTGGAATAGATAGAGAATAGAGAGAGAGAGAGAAAAAGAGAGGGGAGAGAGAGAGAGAGAGAGATAGGATGGGTAGGTAGGTAGGTAGGTAGGTAGATAGGATAGATGGTCTTCAAACTTGGCAAGTTTAAGACTCGTGGACTTCAACTCCCAGAATTCCTGAGCTAGCATGACTGGAGGAGGAATTCTGGGAGTTGAAGTCCACAAGTCTTACAGTTGCCAAGTTTGGAGACCCCTGGAATAGATAGAGAATAGAGAGAGAGAAAAAAAGAGAGAGGGGAGAGAGAGAGAGAGAGAGATAGGATGGATAGGTAGGTAGGTAGGTAGGTAGGTAGGTAGATAGGATAGATGGTCTTCCAACTTGGCAAGTTTAAGACTTGTGGACTTCAACTCCCAGAATTCCTGAGCTAACATGACTGGAGGAGGAATTCTGGGAGTTGAAGTCCACAAGTCTTTAAAGCTGTCAAGTTTGGAGACCCCTCTGCCCAAGACTAACATTCAAGCCACCTTGTCAGATGGACCGGGCTTAACAAGGAGGAAGTGAGGTAACCAGAGCAGCTCCTGTCCCGGGTTCCAATTCCGCAGGAAGATCACAGGGCTTAGGAATGGGAATAGGAGCTGGCCCAATTCCTTGATTTGGTTCATTGCTTTGGGCTTCTGGTGGAACTAACTATGGATTGTTTGGGGTGGGTGGGTAGAAAGTCCTGTGCCAAGAGGGCTTACCCTACTGTATCCTCCTCTGACCCAATGTCCCCATATCTAAGGGGCTGCCCCAAAGAAGAGGGGGGAATCGACCTCCAAATCCCCTGAGGGCAGGACAAGAAGCAACGGATGGAAACTGAGCAAGGAGAGAAGCAACTTGGAACTAAGGAGGAATACGGCTTGCCCCCAGAAGTTGTGGCTGCTCCATCCCTGGAGGTTTTGAAAGCCTCCTTAAAGGTCTTAAGGGTTTAAGGTCTCCTGCTTGAGCACGGGGTTGGTCTAGAAGACCTCTAGGGTCCCTTCCCCACTCTTGTTATTCCGACCCCATTCAGAGATGAAGGACCTTTTTCTCAACCTGCCGGCAGGAGTCACAAAAGCCAGGCCCGGAGAAGATGCTACTCTCCCCACGGACAAACCCACCCCCCCTCTTGGGGGAGGGGGGAGGAAAGGGGGGGGCACATTTCTGTCTTGATCCCACCCGCTGGAGGGCTGACCCTCTCCTCCGCCCCCTTTCCCCACACTTGCCCCCGCCTCGCACACACACACACACACACGTATACAGACAGACGTACACACACCCACACACACCCGGGGGGGGTTTAGCCCCCCCCCTCCTCCCAAATCCCGCTCCTCCCCCCCTCACCGTCTGGCTTTGCGGCTGCTCCCGGACGGAGCTGGGGAAATGGAACGGGTGGGCGGGGCCGCAACGGATATAACGGGCGCCCCGCCCCCTGCCTCCCCCACCCCACCCACCCACCCACCCCCTCCCTCCCTCCCTCCTCGCGGCGTTCGCGGCGGCCGGGCTCCCTTGCGCTGCTCGGCCAGGGGAGAGCGCCCTGCCCGCTCTTCGCAAGCGCTGGGTCGTGTGTGCGCTGGGTGGTTACGCAGCGCCCGCGTGTGTGTGCGCGTGCAAGTCAGGAGCGGCTGACAGAGGCACCTGGAGCATCGCGGGGCTGTAGCGGAGAAGAAGAGGAGGAGGAGGAAGAGGAAGAAGAGAAGGAGGGGGAAGAAGAGGAGGAGAAAGAAGAGGAGGAGGAGGAGGAGAAGGAAGAAGAGGAGAAGGAGGAGGAAGAGAAGGAGGAGGAAGAAGAGGAGGAGGAGGAGGAGAAGGAAGAAGAGGAGGAGGAGGAAGAGGAGGAGGAGGAGGAGGAGGAGGAGAAAGAAGAGGAGGAGGAGGAAGAGGAGGAGAAGGAAGAAGAGGAGGGGGAAGAAGAGGAGGAGGAAGAAGAGGAGGAGGAGGAGGAAGAAGAGGAGGAGGAAGAAGAGGAGAAGGAGGAGGAAGAAGAGGAGAAGGAAGAAGAAGAGGAGGAGGAGGTGGAGAAACAAGGAGGAGAAGGAGGAAGAGAAGGAGGCGGAGGCGGAGCGGGCACCCTTGCTTAACTCCATGCTGCGGCATCGCGCCCCGGGAAAGCCTTAAAGCCGGCGGAGCAGGGGCGGGCGCCGTTTGGTCGGGGCCGCCGCTTTGGGGAGCGAATTCCACAGGTGAGACGAGCTCGGTGCCGAGTCTTTTCGGGTCGCCGGTCCAGCCAGGGCGGACTCTGGGCAGGAGGCTGGGCCGCGCGTGATCCGTGCCCCACAAGGGATGGAGATGGGCGCGAGGTCTCCGCCGGTTTGGGTCCCCAGTTCCTTGGACCGCTTAGGATGGCCCCGCGTGGCTTTCCAGCAGGGGAGCGGGGGAAGGATCTCACCTTGGTCCATCCCGCTTGTAGGGCTTTGCAGGACGGGGGTCCGGTCTCTATCTGGGGGTGTTCCAGTCTCCTTGCCTTTCTTTCCAGCACCAGGGTCCGGAGTGGGGTTTTTTTTGGGGTGGGAGGGGGTTCCCTCATCTTGATCCCATCTCCTTGCCTTTCTTTCCAGTAAGGGGGTCCGGTGGGTATGGGAGTGTGGAGGGGTCCCCCATCTTCATGTAGGTCTATTGGGGAGGGTGGGTGGCTTTCCTAGCTTGGTCTCCCCTCCAGCGGGAGAGGCCGGTGGGTCCCAACAGCCGCAGAGGAGCCCCTCTTCCTGTGGTTGGGGTCCTCCCCCCATTGGCCATGGCTTGTTGGCTGCCCTTTGGCCTTCCTCTGCTGGATTTGGGGGGGCGGGGGGCAGCTGGGCTCCAAAGCCTCCCCCCCCCAAGAAAGGCTTGGCCAGGGTGGGGTGAGGGTGAGTGGTTGAGGGCCACTCCTTCCTGGGCTCGGCCCATTTCTGATAAGCCCCTTCTCCAGACTTTTTCCCTGGCTGTGCTCAATGGGCGAAGATGGCATCTTGCCCCCCCCAAAAAATGAGTAAAGGGCAGCTTGGAGGGCTTTTCCCAGCATACCTGGGACTGTTGGGGTTTGTCATTGGCTGAGAGAGCTGTACATCTGCAGAGGGTGGGGTTTTTTTCTCTCTCTCTCTATTTCCCCCCCCCCCCCCCCCACGGCCCCAGCACGATGGGTGAGAGCAAGCGAAGGAGCAGGTCAAGGGAAGATGGATGAGTGCCCAGGGCAAAGGAGAGTCTACATGGGCACCAGGGATGCCCAGCCTCTCAGCCCCAGAAGCTCCGTAGAAGACGCTGAGACGGTCCTTTTCAGCCCTGGCCTACTCCGCAAGGTTGTGGTGTGTTTAGGAGTTGGGCTCCTACATATGCAGGGCTCTCCAACCGTGGCAACTTTTTAAAGACGTGTGGACTTCAACTCCCAGAATTCCTCAGCTAGTCATGCTGGGCTGGGCAATTGTGGGAGTTGAAGTCCGCAAGTCTTCAAGTGGCCAAGTTTGGAGACTCCTGTCTCTAGGAAGGAAGCTGCTAGGTTTTATTGTTTTTTTTAAAAAAATCGTAATAAAAAAATATATATCCCGTTATCTTTTTCCTTTGGTTTACGTTTTGTGGCTAGGCCCTAACTTTGGCATAATGTGGCAAAGGGACTCTCGGTCTATAAATATGACTTATGGCCACGGTTGAGGCCAAAATGTAGTGGTTAAGCGAGATGGTTATTAAGTGATCCTTGCAAGCTTTCTTCCCACCGTTGTTCATGTTGCTCATTCTCCTTATTTCTAAGTTGAATCTCTCCTTGATCAGCTTCCATTTATTATTCTGTGTTTGGCCTTTGGGTGCTTTGGAAAATAGCTTGACCCCCTTCCTCTCTGGGGCAGCCCCTCCAATATTTGAACGCTGCTGTCCTGTCTCCCCTGGTCCTTCTCTTCCCTCGACCAGCCAAGCCCAGTTCCTGCAACCGTTCTTCATATGTTTTAGTCTCCAGTCCCCTCATCATCCTGGTTGCTCTTCTCTGCACTTTTTCTAGAGTCTCAACATCTTTTTTATAGTGTGGTGACCAAAACTGGATGCAGGACTCTAGGTGTGGTCTTACTAAGGCTTTATAGAGTGGTAGTAGTACCTCCCTTGATCTCGATTGTATCCCTCTGTTAATGCAACTTAGGACTGCATGGGCTTTTTTGGCTGCCAACGCACACTGTTGGCACACATTGCCTTAACTGGTGCCTAAAATATCCCTGGCCAGTTCTCATCCTACCCCTTCCTCTTGATCTCAGGGTTGGTCTGGAAAGCTGTCAGCCCTGCGAGGTAGGCCAGGAGAGGAAGCTCGACTCCACAAGCAAGTTGCACTCTTATTTCATCGGTGCAGGTCATAAAAACCAGCTTGAAACCCCGATAGAATTTCTTTCTCTCTCGCTTCTAACTTATCTCATGCCATACGCCGTATATACACCTGGTCCTCAACTTATAACGGTTTGTTTAGTGACCGTTGGAAGTTACAACACTGAAAAAAGGGACATGGCGATTGGAAAAAAAAAGTGGCCTGTGACCATTTTTCACACTTATGACCGTTGCAACGTCCCCGCGGTCCCGTGATCCAAATTCAGCCACTTGGCTCATCTTTACGACAGTCGCATTCTCGCAGGGTCACATGCAAGGGTGCGATTCAAACACCCCAGCAACCGGTTCGCTGCCCGGTTGCTGGGTGGATGGGGCCATGTTTGGCGGGGCCTACTGGAACTTCCTGTT